CTCTGGGGGATGATTAGTCCATGAGGGTGGAACCCTCAGGAGCAAGATTGGTACTCTTCCAACAGGGACTCCAGAGAGCTCTCTTCCGTCATTTGAGGATATGGGGGAGAAGTGGCAATGTGGAAGAGGAAGAGGGCCCTCCCTGAACCCAACCATGATGGCACCCTGATGTCAGGCTCCCAACCTCCAGAACTGGAGGAATAAAGTTCTGTGGTTTATAAGCCACCCAGCTGATGCTAGTTTGTTAAATCACCTGACCTAAGACAAATGACATTTTATCAAGCAAAAATTTTCAAACAGGGAAAACTGGAAGCCTCAAGATCCTTTCTTTGTGTATTTAAAAGTTAAAATCTAGACAAATGGGGCTGGGGCTATAGTTCAGTGGCAGAGCTAATATGCATGAGGTACTGGGTTCCATCCTTAGCTCCACATAAAAATGAACAAATACAATAAAGGCATGCTGTCCATCTACAAACTTTTTTTTTTCAAAAATCCAGACAAATGGGCTGGGGATGTGGCTCAAGTGGTAGCGCGTTCGACTGGCATGCGTGCGGCCCGGATTCGATCCTCAGCACCACATACAAACAAAGATGTTGTGTCGGCTGAGAACTAAAAAAATAAATAGATATTAAAATTCTCTCTCTCTCTCTTTCTCTCTCTCTTTAAAAAAAAAATCCAGACAAATATTAAATTTTGCACATTAATGTAAATGTTAAATAAAAATTTCAGGCAGTCCTTTTAAAAACTTACAGATGTAACAAAGAATGCTTTAACTTTCTTAAACTTTCTGTTTAACACTTTGACATTTGTCAGAGGTATTCTATATAAATGACCACCTGTAATACTATCATTGCTAAAATTGTCGATTGCAGTTAACTATTTCTACAAGAAGTTATTCTTATATAATAGACAAAAGATATGCACAGAAAGTCGAAATATCAACATGAAAAGCAGCAACAATGTCCAGGGCTGACTAAGTGCATTTCTGATCCTTACATTGAACCCACTCTTCAGCCCCCACTTAGCTACATGCTGTGTCCTGCCATTATGGACAGGCAGGAATTTCAGACACAGTCTGGCAACCAATATCACGTTGCTCCCATTAGAGCTTTCTGCCTACATCTAATTAATAGGTATAACCAGATATTCTTGGAGACTATTCAGCAGGGGGGACCCATATTATTTTCACATAAATTGATGAGATTGACTGAGATCACTGAGATTTCAGTGGCTTTGCAACCATTGGGGGAAAAGGGGGAACCTTCTTGGAAACATTATTTGACACTTTATACCTGAAAACATTGAATAACTAACCTTTTCATTTTCAATCAATGATTTGGGTATCTTTGAAATGCAGTCAGACAATAAATGCTACCTGATTTTCTTATTTTTTATTTTTCTTGACTTCTAAGTTGGGATGTGGATGTAAATATCATGTTGTACAAAATGCTCAATTTCAGGAAAGAAGATAAATGTCTTGCATTAGCTCCTCTTCCTTCAATTTTTATGGTCAAACATTTTTCAATATTTTCTAGGAGTTAAATGACTTTTTTTGGTTAGCATTAACATTAACTTCTGTTAATCTCAGCAGCTTAATCCAATGGAAGTTTATTTCTCATTCACATAAATTCATTTGCCAAAGGGAACCAGGCTGTTGGAAATTCCACCAGTAACCAGTGAAAGAAGAAAAGAGAACATGGATGATGGGTCGGGGCTAAATTGGCCTGACTGGGAGTGACAAACAGAACATTTAATTGACCAGAATTTAAGATTGTGACTTTATAGAGCTTTGGGAAGGGGGTACAGGGGAGACAAGGGCAGGCAGATGTAGTCCCCAACTTTATACCACTCCCCTGTAAAAATTTTCTGGTAAAACGACAAGTAGCCAACTTAAAAAATGCTAAATCCTGAGAATGTATATATTAGAAAGGGTGATATCTGATCAGGTCTTTTTAAACAAATGCTTTATGAAGTTTATACAAAGTGCTTAATTTCAGTGAAAAAAATTAAATATCTGTGGATTAAGCACCTACTATGTGCAAGTGTCTTGATGCATCCCATGGAAAAGTAGGGGGAATGGACAGATACCAAGATGATCTTTCTTTTCACGAAGCTTGGCAAGGGAATAAACTTTATGTGCATTTTTTTGTGATTCATAAGGTGTAACTTCATAATTTCACTTATAAAGAAAAGGAAAATGTTTGCAAAGGAGATATTTGTTTTTGTTTTCTGATGAAATTATTTCCCTGTAGAAAATGTGAAAAACACAAAAAAGGTACAAAGAAAACCAAATGTATCTAGTCCTATCACATCAAGGAACCATGGCGAACATTTTCCCTTTTGATATTGCATATGTATGACATATTTGAAAAGTTATTTTGTGAGGATGAATGTCAAAGCATTGAAGTTAAAAAACATCAGTTGACCTAAATTCACATATTTGTAATCATGAAGAAATCTAAGAGATAATGCCAAAATAAACTGTTTTTCTTCTTTGGTATCTAAAACATCAAGGTTCACGATTTTTCATAAGAAGGGGAGGGAAGGGGCGTGTTTTAACCACCTAACAAATAAACAAACAGATGTTGCTGAAAAATACAATCATCATAAAAATCCCCTGCATTTATTCAATATGCAGTATACCAAGAACCACCAGAGTGTGTTCCAGAGAAGTGGTTAGAAGGGCAGGGTGGAGGCACTGGGAAAATTTTTCTGGCAGTGATCAATTGTTCAAAGGTAATTGGCCTACATACACCAGGAGCTTCTATCATAGGAGAAGGGAAAGCAGGAACAGAAAATCCTCTGCTCTGGAATGTTGAAGAGGGGATCTAAGCACTGGACAGGAGTCAGAGAAATGCCCAGAGGACCCTTCCCAGCCAGGGTGCACATATGGCCAAATGCATGGTTCCTGCAGGAAGGGCTCTGGAGCATACCTTATTTGAGTTGTTTGGGATTTCAGTCAGCTTTCGTCATCCATGGGTTCCGCATCCACAGATTCAACCAATGATGAATAGAAAATATTTGAAGGAAAAAAAAAATTCTGGAAGGATCCAGAAGCAAAACTAGAATTTGCTGCATATTAAGCATATGCCGAATCCATGTGAATGAAATGATGTGTAGGCACATGCTGCTGTGGTTTCCCCCCACTGCTCGGATCCTCAGGCTCCCTCTACTCGGGCTGTTTGAGCATTGGTTGCCTTGAGCCTTGCTTATGTGCTATGTAAGTAGGTCCATGATGGTTCATCACTACTAATTTTTCTTGTCATTACTCCCCAAACAATACAGTTAACAACTATTTACATAGCAATATACCATGATCAATTCTGTACTGAACATGCATAGACTTTTTTTTTCTTCTTGTTTCGGTCATCATTCCCTAAACAATACAGTTTAAGAACTATTTACACTACATTTACATTGTATTAAGTATTATAAATCATCCAGAGATGATTTAAAGTTACAGGAGGATGGGCTGGGTTATATGCAATTACTATGCCACATAAGGGACTTGAGCTTCCCTGGATTTTGGTACTGGGAGGGTGTCTGGAGCCAATCCCTTATGGATTCCCAGGAAGGACTGTATATACATATTGGTAGAATTAGCGCAACCTGAAATCTTAGTTAGCTTATTGGCCAGAAACAGCTTTTTACGACTTTGGGATAGTAAGGAGTTAATACATTATGAAAATACCCCAAATTATGAAAAATTAATTATAAAGATACTGTGACTCAAAGGCATGCTTCAGAGGAAGGTGGGCAGACCAGGTAGGTAAATGTCCAAAAGGCTACAGTCGGCTGAAGGAAGCCATGATATCTTTTCAAGGTTGTTTTAAAAAGTAACTAAAGGGCTGGTCTGGGAACCACTCAACTCCTTGTTTCTCAGTTTGGCACCCATTTCCCCCTCCATCTTCTCTTATTTCTGACTGCAGCAAATAGTTCATCTAGGTTCCTTCCAATTTGGGCCATGGAGACCCAGCTGATATTTTATGAAAGGAATCTTATTTCTTTGCCATATCACCAATTCTCATTCAGCCAAAATCTTGATTGCTTTGGTGAGATTAATGGAATGGAAAGAGAAAAAAATATGAATACATCAAGCCATGACGTACACCAAATACCTCAACTAGTTAGCAGCCCTTTGATTTAATTGACCCTCGAAGTTGTAGTTTTTTGTTTACTTTTCTGTTGTATCCACTACTCTGCCAACTCCACTGTTTTGAAAATAAAACAAAATTCCAATATGGATTTTAAATAAAAATGCATCATAAACAATTGGGGTGTGCATTCCAAGTGGTTTCAGGGAGTGCAGCAATGTAAGTAAGCAACTAACCGCTCGAACACCACAGTTGCTAAAATATTTCCCCTCCTGACCGGAGTAGCGTTTCTAGAGAATATTTAACAGGGAGCATTTTAATGCTTCTAACGATGTTGAAACTAAAGAACAAATATTGACGCAGAGGGCACCACAACTCTCCCCAAAGAGTAAAATACATCCTTTATGAAAGGAAAAAGCACTTGGCCAAAATATCCCCCAAACCCTGCACAATTGGTCCTTAGAAGGCAAAGGAGCCAATTTGGCACAGCCAGGACCTGGGCACTAATGCGCCAGGCAGCATCTTAGGTGTCTTCTCTCTCTGTGAGGCCAAGGTTTCCCCACCAAACCCCACTGAACCTCCAGCCAGCGCTACTGGGCTTGGAGGCCACCCCAGGCCGCAGCTGGCGGCCGCTGGCACAAGGGCTGAGTAACTGGGCCAGGACCTGGCCACGCGGCTCGTCGCCGCTGTAGAGTTTGGCCCAGTGAGGCCACCCTGCGCGGCAGCTCCACCAACCCCGGGCGGGTGGCCCTGGAGGTGAGGCTGGCCTAACGGGACCCTCCCTGCGCCCCGGGTGGCGGTGAGTCAGGGCGCGTTATGCAAGTGCTGGCCGGGCCAGCCCCCGGCGCCTCCCCTAGGTCCTTCACCCCGGGCAGTTACGAAAGCGCGACCCCCTCCCCCCGGGGCCATAAAGCCTCGGGGCGGCGGGCGGGCCTCGCCTCTTTTGCTCCACGCGCGCCTGGACAGGCTGGTGCGCGTCTCTGACGGTGAGCAGCTGCCCGGCTGTCCTCGGGGGCGGGCGGGGAGGGCGGCAGCGGGCCGGGTGGTCCGGTCCGGGGCCGGCGGTCACGGCGACGCGTCTCCCGCAGGCTTGACTCCTGGGCAAGATGGAGTGGGTGTGGGCGCTCGTGCTGCTGGCGGCGCTGGGCAGTGGCCGCGCAGAGCGAGACTGCAGAGTGAGCAGCTTCCGAGTCAAAGAGAACTTCGACAAGACTCTGGTAGGTATCAGCCCAGGAGGCCCCGGTGGCCCAGTCCCCGCTTCCCCTACTTCCCGGTGGCCGGTCGTGGACCCCCAGACACACCAAACCCCGGCTCTCCCTTTGGCAGTTCTCCGGGACCTGGTACGCAATAGCCAAGAAGGACCCTGAAGGTCTCTTTCTGCAAGACAACATCGTCGCCGAATTCTCCGTGGACGAGAATGGCCACATGAGTGCCACTGCCAAGGGACGAGTTCGTCTTTTGAGGCAAGTGGCCTCTGGGTGGCCGTGTGCGTAGCGCCTGCCTGAACGCCAAACCCTTACTGGGGAGGGAAGGGAGCACCAGGGTGGGATGGAGGGAGGAAGCTCTTTGCTGGGTTTGGCTGAGGATCCCCTTGGCTTTTGCAGTAACTGGGAAGTGTGTGCAGACATGGTGGGCACCTTCACTGACACAGAAGACCCTGCCAAGTTCAAGATGAAGTACTGGGGCGTAGCCTCCTTTCTCCAGAGAGGAAGTGAGTAGTCAGCTCAGTGGGACCATTTTGGGGATGGGAGGCATACCTGCCAAATCACTGGGTTCCTGCTCCAGCTGCACCCTTAGGAAGAATGGCCTAGGGGAAGATGTGTGGGTGCAGGAAACCTCAGCCCCTCCTGAGGTTAAGGGATCGGGATTGGGAGCAGCTAGTTCAAGAAACCTGACCCAACTCAAAAGGATCTTTGGGTTGCCGGGTGCCGAATTCTAGTCATCTACTGTGCCAGGGTGTGTAACCTGTTCCACACTTTGTCCTCTTACTGCTCCACATCACCACTTCATTTTCATTTTTTTCCAACCCTTTGGGCTGAATTCCTGAGACAGCTTAACTGGGAACCCTAACGGAGGCTGAGACCCCCATCCAAGTTTGTAGGGAGCATTGTGCATGCGGTAGGCTCACTCCTCAATGTCCTGCCTGCTGATGCCGGGGTTCTGAGCCAGGCAGGGTGTTCTGGGTGTCATGGCCTCTTCTCTTTCTCCCAAGTACTGGAGCTCTGATGCAGGGTGTTGAGAACTCTCAGCAGGGCATCTTAAAACTTGGCCTACTCATGAGAATACATTATTTGCTCTTTCTACTACCCCCCTGCCATGTGTCCTAAGTTTCAAATCCTGAATCTACTTGGTAGCTAGAGAAATTTCAGGCCAGGAAGAGACATGTCATGGAATCTTAGAGAAGGAGAGTAAACCCTAGAGAGGGGATTCAGTATACAGATGAACAAACTGAGACCGGGAGAAAAAAGTGCTTTGCCCAAGATAACACAGCAAGTTTGAGAGAGCCAATTCCAGAAGCCAGACATTGCAACGTCCAGGCCCAGATTGGTGGCTCTGGACTGCAGAGTCTCCTAATACAGATGGACCTTTGCAAAGTACCACTTGTGCTTTCTTGTGAGATAGGACCCAGGGACTGCTGAGGGGGCTGCTCTTCCATTGGTGATCCAGGGCAGAAGTGTCCTTCATGTCATTCATTGCTCTACATGCGACATGTGATCTTTGACTTCCTATAAAGTCATGTTAAATGAAATTGCATTTTTTATCAAATTACATTTTACTGCTGATTTACACTGTATAAGAGTTGCTTATCTATAAGGAGAGAGAGTTTTTTATCTTTAAAAATAATAAAAGTTATTTCAAATAGTGCAGCAAACTTCCTCAAGTGATTCATTTACAGTAAAAAATACATTTTTTTCTGTAATGGATTATAAAAACCAATATTAAGAGGTACAAGTTTCCTAATTTTTAGAAAGAATAAACACATAATTCTCATGAGCACTTTGAGGTGTGCTCCTTAAAGGAACAGAATTTGATTGACAGTGCATTTAGGGATGGGGTGAGGAAGGACCTGATGAGGAGGTAGGGTTTTGTCTCTTCTCTCCTGTCCCTACAAACTATATTAGCTCCACTTTTAACTCTTGTATATTGAGATTCTACCTAAGATTTCATTTGGAGGTGGAAAAAAAAGTATTGAAATCTTGAAAGTGATTGCTATAGATATTAAGTGAGATAAGTATAATGTAGAAGGCTTAAGGATGAATTCCTTCTTAGGTTGCCTTTCAGAAAAGAAACGGTGCCCTGCACAGTGGTTAAGCCTGCCCTGATAAAGTTATGCTACCTGAGTTCAAATCCCAATCCCAACCTGTGGGACCGTGGGTGTTTTCCTTGGCCTTTCTATGACTCATTTTCCTCCTCTGCAAAGTGGAGGTGGCCATAGCACCTACCTTATGGAGTTGTGTTATGAGGATGCCATGAGTTGACATGCAGAAAGCACTTGACCAGTGCTGGTGACACAAATTCTCTGTGCCTGTTTGATATTGTTGCTTCTTGTTACCTCTCCAGAGAGGAAATCATGGCTTTACTTTCTGAATCTGGAGTGAGAAGGCATACAGGTACCATTGGGTTCAAATCTCTTGTTTTACAAGTGAAGAAACTAAATTACTGGCCCAGGAGACATAGCTGGTTGGTGGCACTTAGTGTCACCTCTTAGCTGAAGTAAAAGGGACCCTTGTCAGGCTGCATAACAATGTCAGCCTGAAATGTTTTCATTACTGTTTCTCAAAGTCAGGGTCCCTGGATCATCTATATCTAAATCAGCTGTGGTGCTTGTTAAATGCAGATTTCTGGGCCCCAATCCAGATTTATTGAATCAGAAACTCTTGGGGTGGCCCCTGAAGTATGCTCCTTGAATATGTTCCTTCCACATAAGGAAGTTTGAGAATTGGTGTAGATAGTTCAATCCAGAGGGTTATCTTGGTCACTCAGGTATCAAGGCTTCAGATACCACTGACTTTTCTTGTCCATTGGACTAGTCAAGAATTGCATAAAATCTGTCACCTGCCTGGCTCAGCTAGACTGTGAGGCCTGAGAACCTCAGGAAGCATCTCCCTTGGTATCCCTACTTTGAATGATTGGCAGGTGCAGGTTTAGGGAACTGAAGGGAAATTGTTCCAGAACCACAGCAATGAGTGACAGATTTTCAACAAAACCAGGTCACCAAGACAGTTTTTGATACCAAGCATTTTCTTTGGGGACTAGCAATCCAAACCTCGAAACCAGTGTATACAACGAGTACAGTTGTAGACACAGCTGTAATGCAGCCACACTTCCTGGGGTGGTGGAGGGGAGTCAGGGGCTCTGGCCACATAATTGCTGCTTCCAGCACTCTGCTTACCTAGTCTACTGCATGCAATTATTAGATGCTGTCTGGAAACAGTTGGGTTGTCTGGCTCTCCAAAGGACCCTGCCTAGCTGCTGGATGCGAGGAGGCTGGAGAAGCCAGATAATTGTTGCTGCTCATGCAAATCCTCTCTTGCAAATACTCTTAGAAAGGAGAGTTTGGTCAAGGTTGTTAGGATTGAAACTCTTCATCTTTGAGTTATTCTGCCAAAAAGAACCTGGAGATAAACCAAACCAACTTAGGCTTTCTTTAAAAGCAAGAATAGTAGTCGACTTTACTAAAGCCATGGATTGAAAGTTACTTAGTTTCTATGTAGGAATTCACTCTGGCAACAATATTGGAAAAACAATTTTTTTTTAAGCAGCAGATTTGCCAAGCTAATAGCTGCCTGGACCAGGAGTGGAGGTAACACTTCAAAGGCTGGTGCTTTTGTGTCTGAGAGGCAGATTTCTGGGGCACCCATGATGACACAGTGATCCCATAACCAGGGAAGAGATGATTTCATCCAGGGATGAAAAGACTGCCCAGATCTCAGGAGCCTGGGAGGGAGCTCGCGGTTAGGCTGAAGCCCAGCAGCAGGCCCATGGCTTCTATTCTTGGCCCATGTGCTGAATAACTTTGCGGTCACTGCTGAGCAGTCTTCCGTCTGGGTCATCCTCTGAGCTTGGCCTCTGACATTCACCCAGGGACAGCCTGGAAGGTGCAGTGGTGTCTCATTCTTCCTCCTGCCAGGTTGGGTGTGAGCTGAAGAAGTGGCCCATTCCCTGTCCTGTGTTAACTTTCTTTACTGGGCCTGGGTTTGTACTAAATCCCATCTAGTCTGGCATTCCAGAGGTCCTCAGAAAGGCACCCCCAGAGGACACTTAGGGTGACTTCTAGAGCTGGCCCTACCCTCTCCAGTGCTGAAGTCTCCATCCCCTCTGCCTTTCTCCAACATGGAGCTCCACGTGGGCAGATCATCCCTTGGGTGCAAGACACAAAGGCCTTTGGTTTGTTGTCCCTTCTGGTCTCAATCTACCTAGTACCTGGAGTCTCTGGTGTAGGGGTTAAGTATGTGGATTCTGGAGTCGCGCTCCTGGGTTAGAATTCCAGTTCTACTCTGCTTTTTGTGATCCTAGGTGAATTATTTATTTTCTCTTTACCTCAGTTTTCTTATCTGTAAAATAGGAAATAGTAGTATGCCCTTTGGGTTCAATGTGAGAAATAATCGAGGAAACACATGGAAAGTTCCACACAGTGACTGGCACATAATTTAGTGCTCAGGAGGTAACAGCCACAGATACATGTCAATGAGAATGTCAAATTAAGTAGAGATGTGGCATTTTTATCCAAATATACTATATTTGGATAAAATATTCTATATTTGGATAAAACTTGAACACATTGTTCCTTCTCTGTGGCAAATCACTCACATATATTCATAGTATTTCCCATTCTGCCTTTGTTGATATTTTTACTACCTTTATTTATACTTAATCTTCACTGCATATATCCAACACTTGAAGAATAAATATGGTCTAAATTCTTCAAGGGCTTGGCTCTGCCACTGCTGGAAGTCCTGAAGTCCACACGTTCTTAGAAGGAGTTGCTGATGCTGGATAGTCGCCTTCTGTGTCCGGAGGCAAAATCTTCTCTCTGGCCAGCGCAAAGAGTTGGGCTCCTAAGCAGGAAAGAGGGTGGAGCCAGCAAAGCCAGGATCATCAGAGAGGCGTCCTCCAATGGACTGAGGTGGGAGGGCAGTAGGTCAGTGAGAGGAGTAAGAGCTAGCACCTGTACATCATCCCCAAAGACAGGTCCTGGTATTGAGGCTAACGTAAGTTGGTGGCAATCACACATTAGACAAAGACATAGATACTTTTGGAGGGTAGATGGTGAAGATGGCGGTAGATGGGTTTGTTCAATGATTTTGATGGGCTCACATTCTCAGCGGTCTTTTCCCTTGGAAAGATGCTGTGTTATTTACCATCAGGGAGAGAGCGGATCCTGGACATAAATGTGGTTTCCTCTGTGCCAAAACTTTCTCCATAAAGAAAAGCAAGATCCTTTCTTGTTTGCCTGGTTTTGCAAAAGTTGTCAGAAATCTCCTGCTTCCTAAGAAAATGCAGTAGGGTCCAGGTAGTGAGTTTCCAGGACTTCTTTCCACTGAAGGCAAGGTGTCACTTAACACTGACTTTCTGGCTTGCAGTTGATGACCACTGGATCATTGACACGGACTACCACACGTTCGCCCTGCAGTACTCCTGCCGCCTCCTCAACTTTGATGGCACCTGTGCAGACAGCTACTCTTTTGTGTTTGCACGTGATCCCAATGGCCTGACCCCTGAGATTCGGAGGCTGGTGAGGCAGCGGCAGGAGGAGCTGTGCCTGGACCGGCAGTACCGGTGGATTGAGCACAACGGTGAGTGGCCTTTCCCCAGGGCTCAGGGAAACAGGTTCCAGCCAGAGAATGAATGCCTTGTGTCTGTTTATGAAGAGAAAGCGGGAGTCTGGTGCCCCTTTGGGCCCCTTTTGGTCCTGCTTGATCAGATCTTTTCTTGGCCTTATTCCTGGGAAGGTTATCAGAGGCTTTTTTCCAAAACCCTGGCACTTTTAATTAAGTAAAACACTTCCCTTTTATTCTGCTATCTCAAGCCATTTCACTCCTGGCTCCTCTGCCCAGAAAAGCCATTCTGATTGAATGAATATTTGGGGGGATTAAGTGTCCCTGCTAGAGAACTGGGCAGTGAACATGGCCATCAATGTAAAAATGTAAACAGAGACATCAACATAGCAAATGCAGACAAGAATGATGTCAACAAATGTTCTTTATTCTCTATGAAACCAAATAATCATTATATTGATTAGCTGGGTTTCCTCACTTCGGTTTTATGGGGATCCCCTGGAACAACCACAGGATCTTTTTATAGATATTACCCTTGTCTGATCTGGACTTACTTAAAAACTAGAGTGGAAAAAAAAACGTGCTGTCTATTTTGAATCGACACTCACTTCTTTGGTTTCAGAATCCAGATAGGGTCACCCTAAAGTGTAGAAAAAGGGAGTGAAACTGAACGTTTCTGTTTGGTGTAACTGATCCATTACACCAAAAAGACAAAACAGACCAAACACATAAATAGGCATGGGAGCCTCACCCTGCAGGGCAGCCACATGCAGGGCTGGTAAAGCATTCCTGACAGGCACAGCCCAGAGCCCTTCACCTGCCGTCACCTCCATTAATCCTCAGGAACGTTCGCACTCATTATCCACATTCTGAGATAAGAAAATGGAGGCTAAGAAAGATCATGAACATTGCCCAAGATCTCCAATAGGTAGCTGAGTTGAATGCAAACCCAGATGTCCCTTGTTGGCACCACCTGTGACACAGGACATGGGACATGGTGAACACTATGGAACTACCAGCAGTAAGACTGAGATCAGGTTGACTTGGCCCTCATGTCCTTAAATAAGAGGAGCTCCCTGCACCCCCCCCCCACCAGAATGCAATGAGACACATTTGACAGAAACAAAGGGAAGCACTGTTTCATGCAGTAGGTCCTGTGCTCTCCGCCCCCTGACCCTGGAGACTTCAAAGTGGTTCAGAAACAGCCTGGAGAGTGTTTATGAATTGCAGCTACATCTGACTTTGAGGGTTTCCATCTGCTGTGGTGCATTCGAATGAAGAATCACATGAATGGAGCCGAGCTCCAAGGCTACCATGGTGTTCATTATTTACAGAAACACCTGGTCCGTCTTTCTATTATTATTAATGGCTTTGTTTTCTGCATTTCAGGTTACTGCCAAAGCAAAGCAGGAGAAAACCTTTTGTAGCAACATCAAAGACATAAAAGTTTCATTTGAAGATTTCTGATTAACTTTCAATCTTCACCTCTATTTATCTTAGGAGTTTAGTTTGTCTCCACTCCCCCGACCCCAACTGCCCCTCGCATCCCCTTGCCTTCCCTAGGTGAACATAAAACATCAGTACACATCAAAATCCACATAGGAATGATTGAATCTGCATCACTGTGGATCTTATGGAAGTTTCCTGAGACTTGGAATTCCAAACTTTGATTTATTAAAATATAGCTATCAGCTTCCTATGATTTGAGTTTTCTTTGTATTCACAGATTGCAGGTGGGGTGCACTCTTATATACCAACAGGGCATTCTCCCTTTGTGCTCTCTGCGGGACCTTTGACTAATTCTAGCATCTAACCTCCATTATTAAAGACCGCAGCTTCTCCCACTTCTTGAAAAGGGAGTTTCCTCATTAACCCAGGAAGGCCTTAACTACCATCCTGGCCAAGGCCCTGAGGCCCAAAGAGGAAGTGAGTGTGGCCAGACCAGGCCAGCAAGCTCAGGCAGTGCTGGGCCTCTGAGACTGGCCAACCAACTGGGTTTGGGAGGCCTGGATGCATGGATGGGGTGAGTTCCAGGAAACAGCTCCACTCTCCGTTGCATCTGGCAGGTGATTCACTTGTTTCATGTGTGGTCAACACATGGAAGGAGGCAGTCTCAGGGTTTTCAGAAGGTGGGGAGGAAGAGGATATGGAAGATGGGCTCTGAAAGCCAGGTCAGTAGGAAAGTTCACAATATCCTCCACCTGCAGAAGCAGTCAGGACTGGGGCAGAATACTAGTGTCCTACACTGTTAGCAGCACTTGAGTTTGCATACAAACCTACTTGCCTCAGTTTCCCGCAGGTTCCCATGGGTCTCAGTTTCTCATCTTCAAAAAACAGCTAGTCTTTTGTGCTAGATAATCTTGGTTTTAAGTTAAACTCCAACTTAGATTTTTAGCTGTGTGTTTGGGGGCTGGTTACCTGGCTTCTCTGAGCCTACATCTCTCTTGAAATATGGGGAAACAGGCTCTGCCTGATGGGACACAGGGTGTTCAATGAGGCGATGTCTGTTAGAGCTCTGAGGGGCTGTGCAGATCCTGGCCATGCCAGGCTGCATGTGTGAAATTCATTGGAAGGTGGGGGGGTGGTGCTGGCACTTTCTAGGGACTAGGGAGGCTTCTGTGTCCCCCACTTCCATTTGCCTTATTTGCCACCAAAGACAGAGGAGACTGTGGACCACACATGGGAAAGCTCTGCTTTTCATTCTCCTGGAACAGCAGGCTGTCACAGCCTGGGGTCTCAGCCTCAGTTTGACAGCCCCAGAAATCTATAAGATATCCAGGTATTCCTTCCCAAAAGAGCTTAAAATTACCAGGTCTACTAACTAAATCTTTTTTTTTTTTTTTTGTATGTGGTGATGGGGATTGAACCCAGGGCCACATGCATGCTAAGCAAATGCTTTACCACTGAGCTATCTCCCCAGCCCCCACTAACTAAAGATGGGCAAAGACTCCTTGTCCGTTTGTCCATGAGCTTAAGGTCGCCATAAATCTTCACGTCAGAAGCAAGCTACTCCAGAAACTCCATGAGTGATGGCAACAACCCTGGGTTTGATTGGCCTTGGAACAAAGCTTTACTGAGCATCTATCGACTCGGTGGTGGCCCTGTGTCTACCCAGACATTGGCCCAGCCCCCAAGGGCCTGTTTGTCGCTGGGCTGGCTTTGACTCTGATTTCTCCCCTTTCCCCATTTTCTCTCAGGGTGTTTCATAAAACTGTAGGTCTCCAAACACCATCTGCATCTCCCAACAACACTGTACCTCCAAGCCCCAGCCCCACAGCTCTATATACACTGCCTATTGTTTTTGGATACCCCTAGGTTTCAATTTTCTTTTAAATTTTTTCTATAGTTGTAGATGAACAGAATGCTTTTATTTATTTTATTTATTTCTTATGCCGTGCTGAGGATCAAACCCAGTGCCTCACACATGCTAGGCAAGTGCTCTGCCACTGAGCTACAGCCCCAGCCCCCAGGTTTCAAATTTATAGGCTACCACTGAAACTTGGCTCTCTCACCCCATTTTTCTCCCAGTCTTCTCCATTGGTGCCTGCTCCACCATCCGACCAGTTCAGGCTAAAAATCTAGGAGTCGCCCTGGAATCCTCTCTTTCTCTCACATTCTACAGGCTTTCCATCAATAAATTGTCTTTGTGCCACCCTCTCTAAGAATATCCAAGATCAGTTCTCATAATCCATCAGGAATGACACCCACCTCCAGATCCCCAGCAACTGCCTAATTGCTCTCCATTTTCATTCCTGCTCCTCAAAGTTGGACCCTTGCATAGCAACCAGAACGATATTTTCACTCATTCATCAGCTCATGTCAGTCTCCCTTTGCAAACCCCAGTGGTGCCTACTGAACACTGAATCAGCTCCTTAGGGTAGTCTCTCAAACCCTCCCTGACCTAGACCTGGACCCTCTGACATCCATTGATGGGCTCTAGCAGGGCATCCTTCCATCCCAACATCAAGGACAGTGTCTGGTACAGAGGAGGCTCAGCCAACAGTTCATTGCTTGACTCAGTCCTCTCTTCTTCCTGACCCACAGGTCAGTCTCTTTGTACCGATGTCTGTCTCTTCTGCCTGAAAAGCCCCTTCCCCTGGAGCCTCGTGGCACACTCTTTCTTGCCAGTCACCTTTCCCCACCACATCTAAGTGGCCATCACTCCCACAGCACCCTGTCCCGTCTTCCCCAGGTGCTGTTCACTCTGGGATACTATATTTATTCACTTCTGTTCAGCATTTGTACTCCGTAGGGGAAGAAGCTCTCTGAGAGCAGAGGCCAGGGCCATCTGGTTCATCACTGAATTCCCAGCTCAAGAACACTGTCCAGCCATAGTAATGCTTAAGAGGCCTCTGATGGGTGGATCAATGAGGGGACTCACTCCAGATCTCAGTGTCCTTCTGAAGCCAACCCATCTTCTCTCTGATTCCATGACACTGCTTCTCCTCAAGGGGTCCATAGCATTTTTAATACATGAAAAATAATAATCACCTTTAATTATTCCTTGGAAATATCAAATACCAAATACCAAACACCAAATTCAGGGTTGATATGAATGAAAGACCCTGAGGCCTTTCCTAAGGAGCCCAAGTTGGGTATCCAGAGTGGCCCTGACCCTTTAAAGGAGAATCTGAGTCCTCAATCAGTTCCAAGACTCACTTTAGAAACCATGAGGTGTGACCTTATATGTAGGAGATGTAATTGCTGAACAGGTATAAATAAAAATTTATTAATTTCAATCATATTACAAACACACTGAAAAAGTTCATATTTCAAAGGAACCCAATCGTGAGTCCTCTTATAAAGGAAAAGTATGTTTACACGGAATGATCGTCCCTTAATTTGCTGCTGCTGCAGATGTATGTTTGCATAGGTTGTTTCCGTAAAGTAGGGTGCACTGGTGGATGATTAAAGCACACCGTGGCTCACCACAGGGAGAGACTTCATGTGTCGAGAAAAACGAATCAGCTGGAAATAACAGACAAATCATTTCTTCTGACAGATGTGTCTGTAAAAATGGCTCCTTTTTCTGGGAGGGAGAAGCAGCAAAAAATTTTCCTCCATTCGTTCCTAAACAGTGACATGTTGTAGAGAATGGGGTTCAGGGCAGAATTGGCAAATGTGAAGGCCACCACCCAGAAGAAGAGGGATGGCCAGATGACCAGGTCTTGCTGGAAGTTCTGGATCAAGATGAGGAGGATGGTGATGATGATGGGGCTCCACATGATGAAGAAGGACACCATGAGCAGGAAGAGGGTGCGGAAGAGCCGGAAGTCCTGCTGTGACACTCGGATCTGGTGGCTCTCCGAGTACGCCAGGCTCATGGTGAGCCTCTTCCGCGATGCCTTTGTGATCTGCAGGAAACCCAAACAGAAACAGAGCCACAATTTACGATGAATGTCAGAGATTTTGGGGGTTAGGAGCTCAGAAACTGGAAAGTGCCATCCCGCTGCATTGGGGTGTCTGTCTTTGGAACTCTGTGTGGAAGGAGCTGCCTCCTCTGCAGCTGGCCTGCTGCCCACACCGAGGACGCACTGGAGAAATGGACACCTGGCTTGTTGCCCCAGGAATAAGGCAGAAAATCACCCATGATATAAAGAGAATGGATGAGGGGAAGTGAAGAGCCTGACTCGGGTGGTCTAGAGGAGCAAGGTGCTCAGAAGCACACCTTGGCTGTGACTGTGGCTTTTTAAAAGGTAAATAATTGTGCACAAGCAATACATGCCCAAGGCACAAACTCAAACTACAAACACTGAAGGGGAGCAAATGAAAAATACCAGGTCTCTTCTCTAGCCTTTGTACCCTCCATTTCCATTGCCCAGGGGTGACCAGAGGAGGTGGTCTCCTGCATGACCTTCTGGAAGGTCTACATACCAGCTCTACATGCCTTCCCAGGGATGGAATGTATGAGACCCTATCTCCAAAAAAAAAAAAAAAAAAAAGTGGATTCTGGTCTTGCCTACAGGCCTGAGTTGGGGCCTTTAAAAGGTAAATGAGTTTGGAGGCTGTTCATTTGCTTGGACAGCTGCTGCCAGGGTCAGCCCCAAAATGAAACCAAGTCTGGGAAGAGCCACTAACACCTATGGGGTGGGTGCTGCTTGGGAATGATCCCTTCATCAGCAGGACCTGTGGGCACCCCCACAGCCACGTGGAAATCAGAGTCAATTACCAACAGAAGGGGACAAACTCCTCACACGGGCAATTGTGAGTTCCTTGTCTTTAAGGGCAGTCAGGGGCAGGGGCAGGACAGCCTGTCCTTCTCCATTCCACTCCCAGCCCTCACACAAGCCCATCCCCCACTGCAGGCACTGGAAGCATTGGAATGACTATGAAATCGATGTTTTTAAATAAGTAGGTACAGGGATGGGAATGGGAAAGACAGTAGAATGAATCAGACACAACTCTCCTATGTTCCTATACACAACCAGTGAAACTATGTGAATACACAACCAGTGAAACTCCACATCATATACAACCACAAGAATGGGAAGTTATACTCCATGTATGTACGACATGAAAAATACACTCTACTGTCATGTATCACTAAAAAAGAACAAATCTTAAAAAGCTTTTAATTTAAAAAAATAAGTAAGATAAACAGGCACAGTCAAAAAGCAATTGGAAAGTTATGGAATCAGATGTGTCATTAAATGTGTCTGTCCCCAGCAAGAAAGAGAAGCTTGTCAGAGCATTTCTGGTGAC